TACATGATTCATATTTAAATTTTTTACACTTTTGACAAACAATTAATATCGACTTTCTTTTAAGACCAACATTTAAGTATTCCACACCCTGACATATAAAAACACCACACATACAATCTCACATCTCTCGTTCAAGTGTTTACACGTGTTACAAAGGGCACACCAATTTCATTTAGTTAATTTTCGTAAACCAATCGAACAACATCCAGAGAACAATATTATTTGTGTTTTCAATAATAATTTTAAAAAGACAAAGTTTTTTAGTAATTTTGATTTACAAAATCTAATTATTCGGCGAAAATTAACTCACAAAATCATTTTGTTTAAAAAGCTTGTTTATGAAAAAGTGCTAACAAATATTCAAACATCAGGTAATTAATTCAACTTTGTCATTAACCTTTTCTTAAAAAATTTCCATAACTTTCAAAAAAATTTTCTATTATGTTTAATATCCTGTTTTGATAATCCACTCATTTATTTTTAATCATTTTTATTTTGAACATATTATCATATTTCTGTACATTATTATATTTTTTTACAATTTAATTCATTATTTAAGAAAAATCTATTTTCTTTTCCTAAACATATTGTTTGCAAAATCTCATCAAGATCATGTTTCTTGACAGATGTCCTGAAGATGAACGTACCTAGTTCCGAAACGTCGACAATAAACAAATAATTAAATAAAGAAATTGTTTTTTTTTAAAAACTTTTCTTGTTTTTTATTTTGTATTATTTTTGGATTCTTGTTCGAAACTCTACAAAATATATATATATACGTATATATAGTTAATTTTGCAATTGCGATTTCGTTTCAAATATTCTGCAATGTCTTCACATTGCGATTGTTTGTTGTCTTTGTTCAAAAAAGTATGCGCGCTCTCTCCCTACCACTATTCTAAGGCTAGGGACACACATTCTGCGAAATGAATTTAGAAACTAGAAAATAAGTTTTTTTAAAACAATATTTTTAAAAAAATGTGTATTGTGTTTATTTACTAGTTAGATATGCAGTGATATTTTTATTTGATAAATCTTCTTGTTTGTTTTTAAACTTTGCAAAATATTTGTTAGAACCTGCTGAATGATGACACACATAATAACGAAACGTACATAATAAATAGTTAAATTATTGTTTTTTTTTATTCTACTATATGATTGCAAATAATATTATCAAGAATATGTTAAACAGCTTTTTCTAGAATTCTGTTTTGCCGTCCTTGAATCAACATTTTGTGAACCCCTTTATTCTGTATTTTAGATTTTGGGACAATATTTTTGCTTGCATTTATTTCACATTTTAAATCATGTGATAATAGCGAAATTTTGTTTTTTTGCTGATATATATTTATTTTCCAAAAGGTTTCAAAGATTTGTGTTTTTTGGTCATTGGATCAACTGGCGTGAACCCTGTTGTATTTGTGAAATTGATATAAGTGTGTGTGTATACAACATTTTGTCCGTGTTTGCAGGAGCACGGGTCAACCGATTTGAATTATTCAAAAACCATTCGATTTCTATTAATAAGAAGACGTGCAGATTTATTATTGGCCAAAGGCATGTCCAGCTGTTTTGGAGTTACGGAGCAAAGAATGCAGAAAATACAAATCGAGTTTTTGAGAGAACGGAGTATCGGATTTGAATGATCTAAAAAGTATTCAGTTCGTAATGATTGGGAGCAGAGGTGATTAGTTTTTGGCAAAGGCAGGTCCCGCCGTTTCGATAAAGAGCTAAATGTGCAAAAAATGGCAGTTTTTGAGTGAACTAAGCGTCCGATTTGAATGATCTAAAAACTTTCTGCTTGTATTGACAAAACAATTGCTTTTGAGGATAATAAATTATTACATCTTTTTTATTTTCCATAAATATTTTTGTAATTAAAAATTCAAAAAATTACCCAGGCTAAGCATAGTCTAAGGGCCACTCTGGTACAAATGTTTACCCAAGTGCTTTTAGACTGTTTATGTATTGGAGCAATACTCCAATTTTGTGAAAACTATTGAAAATTGTGAAAATGCCGCCAAGATAAGCACAGTCTAAGTGAAAATGTAGCACATAATTATTTGCAAATGCGTTTAGACTGTGACTATACGGGAGCACTTTTTTTGAAATTGAATTCGAAATGAAATGACGATTGTTAATATGCTGGAGATAAATTGAGTTATGATTTACATTTGATTTGCTCAGATGACATAATAAGATAGCAAAAATAATGAAAGTTACACTATTTGTAATAATATATTTAAAAATGTTTAAAATTTCTCGAATATTTCATTACGAAGTTACAGCAATTTGCCTTAAGGCACTATGCCATGCACACCACTAGTTAAGACTTTTTTTAAGACAATATTTTGTTCGTTTTTTTGTTATCTTTATTTGAACTTTCTTACTAACAATTGCCAGATTTCAATTTGCATCCACTTTTGTAAACCCCTTTGTTTCTATAAGACGACTTTACATTCTCTCTTTATTTACAATCCGTTAACTAGATATAATTTCATTATTCAACTTTTTGTTTAATATAATAATAATATATTATTTTATTGTTTTTATTGAACAATATCTTCAAAATTTGTGTGTTTTGATATGTATTGATATTCTTATTTGCTAGTATAATTTATATACTTATATCTCATATATTATCTCATAGTAATCTTGTAATTTTCTTTAAACTTCGTAGTATACCATTTTAAAGTAGAGGGCAAAAGATATGTGACCAATAAGCAAAAATTCACAACCATTTTCTCAAAAACAATTAAAATTTGATATTTTTTAACGATACTATTTTAAAGTATAAGAAAACAGATATATAACCGGCCATTCCTTTAAATTAAAAAAAAAAAAACAAGTTAAGTATGGTATTTTAAAACATGCTATTTTAAATATTTTGTAAGAACTTGCTGAATGACACACAGTGTCGAAACGTACATAATAAATAGTTGAATTATTTATTGCGTTTTATTTCGACTATATATATTTATATATATTATATTTATATATATAATTTTTTTTTTCAAAATTCATTTTAAACTTCACGCCTAATTTCTGTCACATCTCTTTTCCACCCATGTGCCCGCACCCTAACACGTCGCCTCTACAGACACAACTCGCAACTCACGTCAGTACGATTCCGTCAGTCAACAAGATCGTGCGCGTCGTCCTTCAACAAAATTAATAAATTCACACTAAAACAGTATCAAAAACACAAAATTTATTAACCAGAATCGAAAACAACAATCAAAATTATCTATTTACATTAATAAAAGTTTTCAAAAAGTTTTTTAGTGTCGAAAAACATTCCAGGAAAAGTGACTTGTCAATAAGGGATTCTTTTAATCCTGCCGGCATTTTTGTGTTTCTAGAGTTTAGTTTATGAAAAAGTGTAAAATTTTGGTTTATTATGTGTTAACATTGTTTGGGAAGTGATATTTGAGGAAAGGATATAGTGTAATGTAAGTATAATTTGATTTTGTAACATTTGTGTCAAAAATTAGTGTCTAAAATTTTTGAGGTTATGTATAAAGGACTTTAGGAGATTTTGGTACTAACATTCTTTTGTAAGGCTATTTTTTTATTTTTTTGTGTTATTGTTGTTATGCCCGTTTTTAAATTGTTATTCGACAGATTATTATCAAAATATAAACAAATTTAAATAATTTTACACAAGTTGTATGAGAAACCTAAAGGATTTTTTTTGTTAAATTCATTTTTTCAACTAAAATCGAAAATTCTAATCAAATTTTGCTAAAACAATTTAATCTTCATTTTGTGCTTTATTTTTAATATAATTTAATATTATATTTAAGTATAAATTCCTTTGCATGTTTTTGTGTCAAAATTGTCAAAAAACTTTGAGGTTATGCTAAAGGATTTTTAGGATAAATTTTAGATTTGGCAAAAAAGTTAATTTATAATGTTTTTATTTATTTTGTTTTTGTAATTGTTGCTTTGAATGTGTTATATTGTTATTTAACACATTTTTAACCAAATTTGAACAATTTTACTAAAATTGTATGAAGAAGTCCAAAGGATTTTTTTGCTAAATTCATTTTTGTTTACCAAAATCCAAAATTCTAGTCCAATTTTGATAAAACAATTTAATCTGCATTTATTCCTATATATAAATAATCTCTTTGTTTTTTTTATTTTAAATATGAGTTAAAATTATATTTTTATACACTAAAAAGATTTTTTTGAGGTTATATTTAAGGACGTTAAGGATAAATTTTAAATTTTGGCACAAAAATCGAATTATAATGCTATTTTTTTTCTGTATAATTGTTATAATGCACGTTTTATACTGTTATTTAACACATTTTTATCAAATTTAAACAATTTTACACAAATTGTATGAGAAGTCCAAAGGATTTTTTGTTGAATAATTTTTTATCTACTAAAATCCAAAACTCTACTTCAATTTTGCTAAAACAATTTAATCTGCATTTTTTTCCTGTATATAAACAATTTATTTTTAAATATAAGTTAATCAATATACTCATCAGTAGAGTTTCTTTTTTTCCTTAAAAATTTTTTTTCCATTAAGCTCGTCAGTAAAGTTTTCTTTTCTATTTTTTCTCTAATTTGGGAGAATTTTCAATTTGCTCATCGGTAGATTTTTTTTTATTACATTATTTCAGTTTAAAATTTTTGTTTAAGCTCGCCCTCAGAGTTTTTTTTTTTCCACTTAGTGAATTTTGAATTGTTTGTCTTAAATTTTTTTTTTTCGTGCTTAAGAAGAGATTCAATTTGCTCGTCAGTAGTGTTTAAACTTGAGAGAATTTTTAATTTGCTCGTCAGTAGAGTTTTCCTTTTTGTCACTTAGGGAATTTTCAATTTGCTCATCGTTAGTAGAGTTCTTTTTCCACTTAAGTGATTTTAATATGTTTTGTCTGTAAGTTTTCTTTTGTCTTGCTGAAGAAGAGATTCAATTTGGTCGTCAGTAGAGTTTGGGAGAATTTTTAATTTAAATATTGTATCCACACATACACACCCCCATCTATTTTTTTCTGAGTCTGCCAGTAAAATGGTCAGAAACCTTCAAAACGTGAAGAAATGCAAAATTTTTCATTTTCGATTTTTTTGACGATTACAATAACTTACCTACGGGAAATTAAAAAAAAAAGGAGAAATAAGGGCAATTGAAATGTGTAGCTCCGACATCATGGACCTGCATAAGGAGATAGCATCAATAATTACTAGACTTTAAAATGCGAATTTGCAAATTATAGAGACATCTTTATTTCCCCATTTAGAATCAAAATTTAAGATGTGACTTCGAGCATTAGAAATATAGAATGCGGGGTACCACAGGCAGTGTGCTAAGCCTAGTTCTTTATCTTTGATCACAGATGATCTTCTAACCATATGCACTTACGCCGATGACATAGCAATTATTTCATGCGATTCCGATATTAGAACAGCAACTTGTCAGTTACAAAATTATTTATCTAGTTTCGATAAATGGTTTTTAGAATGGAATATCAAAATCAATATCGAAAAATCACAGCACATAATTATTTCTCTAAAACATCACAACAGTCCACCTATCATCATGAACAATTCAATAATTCCACTATGCAATTCTGTTAAATATTTAGGCATGCACATTGATTCGAAATTGACATGGAGAACGCACATTGAATATAAAAGAAACAAATCCAACTGAAAGTAAAAGATTTTTACTGGCTTTTTGGGAGGAAATCTGAAATCTCTCTCGATAACAAGGTACTTTTGTATAAAACAATCATAGTGCCCATTTGGACTTATGGAATCGAACTATGGGGTTGCTCATGCAAATCTAACATAAACATCATTCAAAGGTGCCAGAATAAAATTCTGCGTATCCTTACTAATGCGCCTTGGTATATTTCGAATTTTTGCCTACATAAGGATTTGAAAATCTCAACAGTCAACGAAATGATCAAGATTAGAAGTTCATCTTTCAACAATAAATTAATCCAGCATACAAATCCTACAATTCAAGCGATTCACAGACCGATAAGAAGATTGAGCAAGAAATGGCCTTCCGATCTACCAAACACCTAGCCCAATGTCTGCACGCGCCCTGACATTTATGTTATTATTTTTGTATTACTGTTTTTATTTTATTTTTATTTTAACTTTTTTTCATTTTATATTCAATTTATTGCATTTTTTGTATTTTTGTATTTTTTTGCACATATCAATTTTGTAAATAAGGCATTAAAGTCTTGATTAACAAAAATAAATTGTAACAAAAAAAACTTTATTTCCCAAAGAAGGGTTGGTGATTGGTCGTTGGTTGGTGGTTGGTGGTTGGTGGTTTCCAAATCAATATTGTCAATATCGTTTATCGATATGATCCAAGCACCCCATACTCGTACTTGTATCTATCTACTTATCATCTCATACAAAAACCAGTTTAGTTTGCACGTACTAGCTTACCAGCTGATAATCCGAATGCGATCGACGGTTCGGCCGCATCCGAAGGAATGAAAGTCGTTTGGAAATCATAACCGAGTTACGTCTACGTGCCCGACCTGACCTTCGGGGGCTCCCGACTGGATATTATTGGATATTCTATATTGTATTATACTGGATGAGAATAAACTGGTTCCGACAGAATAAAACAGACGGACGGACGGACAGAAGTGATAGTCGATATACTGTCAACACTGTGGTATGTAGGTAGAAGGACAGGATGGGGACGTTCTGTACCATCGGGTACTACTAAAGTTTCAGTTGGTCAAATTGCACCAACTAATTTGTCTTATAACTAGTGGTTTTATATTGAAAATTGGAAAGTGGAAAAAGAACTCTACTGGCGAACTTAAACAAAAATTGCAAAACAAGATAAAACTAGTGGGGTGTATGGCATCGTGCTTTAGGCAAATTGCTGGAACTTCCCGTACCGTAACGAAATGTTCGAGGATTACTGAATGTTTTCAAATAGATTATTATATAGATACTGTAACATTGTCTCATATTTATAAAAAATATTTATAAACTGAATGCAAAGTTGAAATTATTTGTTTAAAGTATATTAGAACTATAGTCAGAATTAAAAATAAAATCTGAATTATTTTAGATATACAAAAAAAATTTTTTTTGAAAAAAAAAATGAAACAATTTTTTTTTCCAAATTCAATTATTTTGTTAACAAGCAGAAAGTTCTTTGAATCATTTAAATCGGACGCTTAGTTCTCTCAAAAACTGCCATTTTATACACATTTAGCTCCGTATTTCCGAAATGGCTGGGCCTGCCTTTGCCAAAAAACTAATAAACTTGGAAATTAGAGAAAAGAAATTACTGACAGAATTCATATATAATGTACAGAGTTTGAGAAAGAATTAAATGATTCTAATGAATGGTAATATTTTTTACAAAACTAGAGAAGCTTTGTGTTCATTTACTTTTTTGTGCTAATTCCAAAAACATTTTTAATTGACTTGATTTACTTATCACATCACAAAAACAACTTTTGATACAAATTTTGACTATAATATTTTATCAAACTTTGATAGCTACTTATAACGCCGTTTTTTTTTCTTTTTAGTATGATGTACAAGACCATGATATCTATAACTTCAAAAAGTTTCATAAAAACCGTCATTTTTTTTTTCTTTTAGATCATTAGTTATTCATCTAAATCTAATCTAATCTCCTTCGGGAAGTTGAAAAGTACTCCTTCAGTAAGATTATTAAAGAATTTGTTGAAGAAAACAGAAATTCTACCGATGAGCTATTTGAAAATTTGTTTGAGTGAGAAAACAAACGAACTCTACTGACGAGCAAACTGTATTTCATCAAGTTCAGTGCAACTTTACTAACAACCTCACTATTTGCACTAAATTTTGTATACAACGTCTGAAAGAGACTCTACTGACAAGCAAATTAAAAATTCTCTCTAGTTACAAACTTTACTAACAAGCATATTAAACAAATGGAAAAAGAACTCTACTGACGAGCTTAATGAAAAATTGTGTTGTGAAAAGGAAAATTAATCTACTATTCAAAATATTAAAAATTATCTCTAGTAGAAGGAGAAAGACGACTCTACTGACATATTTTAGGTGCTTTTTGGAAATAATATTTTGACTTTAGATTTTCTTGCAAATTATAAGTAAATCGACAGTTATAGAACTGTATATATAAATAAATATAAATATATATATATATATATATATATAATATATATATATATATATATATATATATTTTGTATGATTCTGAATTTGATGTTGACATATGTATTAACAAAGTCTAATAATCGGGCATAACATCAATAAAAAACATGAATTTCTTTCAAAAATTTATTTTAAATCCATACGTTTCGGCTATAATCCTAGCCTTCATTCAGTGGAAACTAAAAATAAAATTAAAAACTAAAACAATTGAATTGGAGTGAAAAGAAAAAATAAAATAGTAATTAGTACTTACAATTAGTTGATCTTAGTGTTAATTTGGAAAACT